TGGATATACAGAGACAAAAGGCTGTTACCGCCAGTGCAACAATGAAAGTTCTCACAGTAGTGTCTCAGCTCAATCTGTCTGACAAAATTTCCTCGCAGCCCAGCCTGTCTCAGTGTGGATGTAAATCAGGCGGCCTCTAGGCTAAGCAGTCCTGTCTCTGCATTTCTCCCATCTCTAACCTATGTTCATTCTTCAGTGCTGCTCAGTGATGCCTGGAAAAGTCCCAGCTGTCATGGTAAAAAGTAACTGTTTATGTAAACATCAACTGTAATTCAAAGAAAATTAAAGTCTAAGTGCAGTTGGTGACCTTTCTAGAAAACATAAAATATCAATAGTGATCCAAGTGAGACACAGGAGATGGAAACTACCCTAGAAAATATTTGTAGATGATCAGTATGGGACTATTGAAAGGCACAAGCAATGAAGCACGATAGCATTGTCCTCTGTCCTCAGTGTTTCCAGAACAGGCGCTCTGAACACCACCACAGACAACACAAGAGACTGCTGTCTTCTCACACAGCATGCTGTAAAGCCAAGATTGACTTACCCCGAACCCGGTAACAACAATGAAGCTATAAGAAAATGAAATAATAAAGCTATAAGAAAAAAATGTGTGTGTGTGTGTGTGTGAGTGTGCATGTGTGCATGTGCGTGTGTGTGAGTGTGCGTGTGTGAGTGTGCATGTGTGTGTGCGTGTGTGAGCATGTGTGTGAGTGTGCATGTGTGTGAGTGTGCATGTGTGTGCGTGTGTGTGCATGTGTGTGTGCGTGTGTGCGTGTGTGAGTGTGCATGCGTGTGAGTGTGCATGTGTGTGCGTATGTGTGTGTGAGTGTGCGTGTGTGTGAGTGTGCATGTGTGTGTGCATGTGTGTGTGTGTGTGATCAGTAAGGAACTATTTTACAGACACAGTTTCAGTGCTCTTACCATTGCAGTTGAAATTGTCCATAAACCCAAGGACCACATATATTCTAAGGGCCACACTGATGTGTTTTCTTTTCTCTGGTCACCCGTGTGTATATTTATTATTATCATTATTATTACTATTTAATTTTACATTTTTGAATGTTTTGCATGTATGTAAGTGCACCACATTTGTGCAATGCCCAGGGAGATCAGAAGAAGGCATCAAATTCCCCTCAAACAGCCATGTGAGTGCTGGGAACCAAACCTGGGTCTTCTGCAAGAGCAGCCAGTGCTCTTAACTGTTGAGCCATCTCTCCCAACCCCAGCCATGTAGATCTTAAGGTTATGGTGTTCATGGAAAACTTCTGATTCCTTCATGCAGAAAGTCTTTCCTTGACATGTTTGGGGACAGAACATGTGATGGGTTCTGGCCAAAGAAATATGTTTGAGTGATATATCTAACTTGTGGCCCAGAACATGCATGCTTAGTCTACCTTAGAGAATAATGTGATAGGAAGAGTATCACTCAGAGTGAAAATCAAGGGGTATGTGGGAAGCACATCATCTTGGTTCTAGCTACTGTGGCTGTGCAGCTGTTTGTTACACAGGCCAGCTGGCTTCAGCTGACTGATACACCAAGTTAGAATCATCAGTTTCCATTCTTGTGTTCAGTGTTCACCTGTAATATAAAGATTAAAATGCTGATTTCATTGATATAAAACAATAGAAGACGTAAAGTGTCATAAATTATAATGTGATAAGCAGAAGAAAACATTAACTGTATAGCATCTTGGGTCATTAACTCAAGTTTAACATGGTTAACTCTGCTTATGCTGAACTCAGAGTGAATTTCATTACTTCAACAACTACATTCCTGTAAATTTTGTGTAAGGCATATCTACATGGACCCAAGGTTATATAGTACATAAACATAAACTTAAGGATTTCCTTAGAAAAAGTTCCATATTAATTAGTCAAAATAGGTTGCTTTTAAAAATGACAACAGAAAGTACGTTTTCCTCAGGAAACCAATTTATAAAAACAGCTGTTACTGTGGTATATGATCTAATTAAAGAAATCACACATGAGGGGTCTGGGGAGATATCTCAGTAGGTAAAGTGTTTGTCATGCAAGTGCAAAGAATTGAACTTGGATCTCCAGCAACAAATAAAAAGCTGGGCACAGTGGTACATATCTGTAGTCCAGGCAGGAATTGTGAGGCCCCCTAGATGGTGCTGGCCTGTGAGTCTAGCTGAATGGCTGAGGTACAGGTTTAGTGAGAGACCGGGTCTAAAAACTGCAAGATGGTGTGGAATGACCTAGGAAGTCACCCAACGTTGACCTCTGGGATCTGTGTGTTCTCCTACCTTTAAGTAAGCACACAAACTCGTACCCCACAAACAGCACACACATAAATACTTAGATAGACAAATGAATACACTAAAAACTTCCTGCATCATTCTATGTATAGCAAGTTACTGGTAAGGGGACAATTTCAGTGGAATTTTTCTTTCAGTAAAGTTAGATTATACTATATGAACAAATTTATATCCTGCTTTTGAAACATTATCTATTCTGTTTCAAAGATTTTCTCATGTCAACAAATTTGCAAACTCATTTCCAAGGTGTCTGTGGCCTCCCAGTATATCTGTGTTCCTTCTGATTTGTAGACCTCTTTGTTCCCTGTTATGAATGAAGCCCCGTAGATCACACAACACAGCCCTCTCTGTCATGCTGCTGGCCTCCAGCATCAAGATTGAGGTCATTTTAACAATGTAGACATGTTTTCATAAAAGGAATATTGTTCCTAAAAGGCTGCTATTGTTTTGGATTAGCTACATTTGTAAATTTGCACATATTTGATGTCTGTGGATTCACAGAGAGGATTACTGATGACAGAAACTTGAAGGAAAGGCACCCAACATTTAAACATGATTTTGTCAGGCAGAAGCACCTTCTCGACTGGCATACAGTGTGGCCAGCTGTCCCCCCGCCTTGTCAGGTTGAAGGTGATTGACAGATGTCACCCTGTACGTCATTTAGCACAGAACACTCATGCACATAGGCATTGTTACATGAGGAAAACTTGGTTTCAGGATGATTCAGACTCATGGGGATACAGTGAGGAATGAGCTCTGCTTTGATACCTGACCCCACTAACTATGTGAACGTGGGGGATACAGTGAGGAATGCTCTTCCTGCACAGCTCCTGAGGAATGAGCTCTGCTTTGATACCTGACCCCACTAACTATGTGAACGTGGTTACCCCAGTAACTACGTAACTAGTGCAGATTCCCACTTCTGTTGAGAGGGTGCAATGGTGCGCCCTCTTAGATTTAGGTTTTCCGACCGATTGTGTGTTGTCTTCCAGCCCCCTGTGGTGGACACCTGACAGCTTCTAGTGGGGTCATCTTGCCCCCAGGATGGCCGGGATATTACAAAGATTCTTTAAATTGTGAATGGATCATTGAAGCAAAACCAGGACATTCCATCAAAATAACATTCGATAGGTAAGACCAAACTTTTTCCTCCTGTGTTGGAAGCTTGGAACCCAGGTAAACTTCCTGCTATAAGTAAATGGATCTTAACACTTAGAGAGTGGGCGTCATTCAATTCCCCAAAGAAACTCATGAAGCATGGACTAGCACTGGAGCTGTTTGGCTTTGATTAGAGTACTCATTAAATAATGTGAAAGTGAGGATGCTATTTGAGACACAGTTTGGGAATGTTTGTTAGACTAAACCCTGTGCTTAAAATCGAAGGGAGCCTCTCTGGTGTTCTTTCTAGACTCAGTCACTTATAAATAGCTTGACCAGATCACATTCTGAGTCTTAATATTCAGAATGTTGTTTTTTCTCAAGATGCATCCTTATATTTCATTTTTGTTTTACGGAAATTTTCTAACAATTCCTAATATCTGTACTAGAAAAATTTTAAGTAGGAGTTAAGTTATCTTTATAATTATCCTTATATAAAATTATTAGCATACCTCTGTTGGATGACCATAGTCTTCAATAAGATAATCCTTCCAAACAAAGGGGGAAATGGTTCATGTCTCTTAGTGAGTGACCATGCAGTAACATTAATCATTAAAAATAACAATAAATATTCAATAACTTAAATTTGGTTTCCTTTTAATTCTTAAACTTTCTGGTATTTAGAGAAAACTGAATGAAGTCCCTGTTATCCCAGGGACAAATGGCATTTAAATCATGTAATAAATCTAATGATTTCAGTGTCTTGTTTGGCTGTCTAATGGCAGCCCAGTTTCAGTTGCTTAAGGAAAGATTCTTGCTATTTTTTTTTTTAATTCGGTATTTTCAGTATTATGGGTAAATTCCACTTTAACAATCTAATACTTCTGACATTTTGAGATGTTTAGCTTGCCTTCGGTTAGTGCTGAGCTCTTCAAAGATGAGCTGTGTGAGGTACTCTGGTTTTCTATCGCTCCATGGCTAATGCTTCATAGAGGTGGAGCTTATGCTGGTAAGGTCTGGATCCCTGCTGCTGGTGCCCAGCTTCCAAGTCAAGGCAACCTTTTTAGAGTTTGCAGGTTTCTGAATCTTTCTCTTGAGAAGTGCTTTTTCGAAGTCCTATCCTATCCCTAGCAAAACAGGACATTAGAACTCCATCAATATCAAATTTAAGACTTCCATACTTCTCCCAATTTCTGGGATTTGAACTCAAATATCTGGCACATTACAGTCTTAAATTTTTTTTAATATTTATTTTTTATGTGTATGAGTATATTGCCTGCATGTGTGCAAGTGTGCTCGTCTCATCCAGTGCCCATGGAGTCAGAAGAAGGTGTTGGATCCCCTGGAACTGGAGTTACAGACAGTTGTTAGTTACCATGTAGGTGCTGGGAATCAAACTGGGGTACTCTGCAAGAGCAGTTATGCTGTTAACTGCTGAGCCATCTCCCTAGCCCCATCAGTCTTTAGAACCAGTGTTAGAGTAAAAAAAGCTGACACATTCAGACCCCAATTGTATCAGTCTCAGATCATGTCCTAGCCTCAGGTCGAGCCATCTAAGACACATTTGGTTCCTCTTTATTGGGGAACAGAGTTCCTAGTACCAACCTAGTTAGTTACTACAATATAGAACGACTTTGCATTGCAGAAGAATGTCCAGAATTGGATGAGGAGCAGAGCAGCACCATTAAAGGAGGCTTAGCATCCTATTTGCTGTTGTTGAGATATGCAAATAGCCTGGGTGAGCTCCCTGGGTCCCTGTCCTTTGTCAGCAATACTCAGAGCCCAGTGTGGGAAGATGGCCCTGGCCCATCGTCCAGAGCTACATTTGGCTCAGTTATCTGGTGAGTCAGAGGCAAGCAGTGAAGAGCTGATGCCTTGGAGCCAAACAAGGCACTTGGAAACTGGGTTAGCTCTTGGAGGACTAGGTGGGCCCATTGAGGAAATTACCTTGGCGCCCAGAATGGTCCCATTATTGTGTCAAGGAGACCCACACGGGGGCAGCTGTGTATAAAATAACCGTAGGCTGATTCACTGGAAGTGCAGGGTAACTTAAGCATTTTCTGGAAGCTGATCTGACTTTCCCAAGTCGTTATGGCCTCCTTGGATTTCTGAAGTGGTGGCTTGCTCAGTGTTGTCCCTGAAAAGTGAGTGTAAAAAGTACAGGGTGGTTATCAAGCAAAGTCCTTAAATACCATGCCCGTTAAAGCCTTCCTTTCTGTAAGAGCTCATCCTCTTCAGTATGTCTATTTCAAGATGTCTAAATAAGTAAAACAGACATTGTGGAAAATCATGTAAAGCGGGGGTGACAGCAGAGGACCCAGGTTCAGGTCCTGGTCCCCACATGACAGCGAACAATCATTCCTAACTTCAGTTCCAGGGAATCTGATGCCCTCTTCCAGCCTCTTCAGGCATTGCATGACACAGGTGGACTTGCATACATGCAGGTGGAACATTTACCGAGACATTTATAAATCAAAAAGTTAAAAACAAATAGTGTAAAGTGAATAATCAATGCTTCTTTCACTAATTTAAAATTATATGTATTTGTATGCATCACCTATCAATCATCTGTCATTTATTATCTACATAACTATCTATTATCTATTTATTTATCATCTACTATTTACCTATGCTCTGTCATCTACTATCTATTATCTATCTATCATCTATCTAAGTATCATCTATTTATTGATCTATCATCTATCTGTCATCTATTTATCGATCTATCTACCTATCTACTATCTATCATCTATTTATTGATCTATCTATCTCCATCTATCTATCTATCATCAATCTGTCATCTATTTATTGATCTATCTACCTATCTATTATCTATCTATCATCTATCTATCTATCTATCTATCTATCTATCTATCTATCTATCTATCTATCATCATCATCTCTCTATCATCTGTGTATCAACTCCCTACATCTATCTAACAGCTATTGGTCCTCCATCTATTTAACATCTATATATCTTACACCTACTTCTCATCTATCATCTACTTGTCTGAAAAAACTTACCTAGCTCACATTGTTTTTCTTTCTGAGCGAGATGATGCCCTTCTTTAGAGCTGTTGTGTTACAAGTTAGTGTGCTAGACGTGATAGAGAATAGAGTGTGCTGCTCCTTTCAGCAGACCTTACAATCCTTCCATCATATGAATCTCTAAGCTCTAATATATATTATTTTAAGCATTTCATCTCTGTAGGTACACTTGAAATTTTAACTATGGGTGTTGATGTTAGACAATGTGTATAAGCTTACTGGCTCCAAATGTCCTTCCCCAGATTCCAGACGGAAGTCAATTACGATACTCTGGAAGTCAGGGATGGGCCAGCCAGCTCATCCCCACTGATTGGAGAATACCACGGCACACAGGCCCCACAGTTCCTCATCAGCACAGGCAACTTCATGTACCTGCTTTTCACCACTGACAGTAGCCGGGCCAGCGTGGGCTTCCTCATCCACTATGAGAGTAAGTGATCTGGGATGCCACCCAGGGTGTGACACCTGTCCTGGGCAATCAGAGCATGTGCAGACGAGGGGGCTGATGTTTAAGGGGTTAAACATCTGACTGTGTCCAGCCTTCTTAGGTGATTTCAGGATCTCTCTTACGGAGCATCTTGGAAGGTGAGGGGTTGCTTTAGAGTCCCCAAATACGTATCAATTTCCTACTAAAATGAAAACGATACAATAATTAAATGATGAATTGTATTACACTGCATAATGCAATGACACATTTTTACTATTAGAACAGATACAATGGGCAAAAGTGATGCTGGGCATTTACTGAAGCTGTTTCCTGAGTGCTGGGTGGGGTCAGTGGCCAGGGCACTGTGCAGAAGGCACTGGTCTGTGACTTTACATGAATGGTCTCCCCAGGGTTGCAAACATGATCAGAGGAAGAACGTGATCAAAATCAGCTACTCGCAGCCAGAGCCAAGCCTGGTGGCTGACAACAACTCAGGAGTTCTTTGGACACATTGAAACACATTGTATTTGGTAATCCAGATGCAAAGAGCTCCTCTCCAGTTCGGGTGTTAGTTTTAGCTTCCGAAATTACAGGATGAAGTCATATCATTTTAAACCCATGTTCATATAAATGTAGTTTAAGAAGCTGAGTGAGGGTTGCTCCCTCAGTAGTGGGCTTTTAACATGAATCAGATAAATATAATGTAACATGAAAATAAAATTTTGGACAAATACATAGAATGCAAATATATAAAACAAAGCCACCACTGCCTTCCCAATAAAAATGCTTCCTGGGAGAGCAGCGTGGAGTGGGAGACTTGCGGGAGCTGGCTGGCCTCAGCTGAAGAAACCACAGTTATGTTGGGCATGAGGTTAAAGGCTATACTTGTGGTGAGCCTTATCGCAGAATAAATAGCTTACATTTAATTACAATTATATATTACACGTACATAATTTTATAAATCCATGAATGGGACATCTACATTTTCTTCTCATTTTTTCCCACCTCCTTTGTTCCCCCGTCACTGATCAGATTAGTCCTGGCCCACTCTGCCAGCTGTCCATGGAAGCTGTCCCCCTATGTCCACAGAAGCTGTCCCCCTATGTCCACGGAAGCTGCCCCCCCATATCCATGGAAGCTGCCCCCCCATGTCCACGGAAGCTTCTCCCCCATGTCCACGGAAGCTGCCCCCCATGTCCATGGAAGCTGCCCCCCCATATCCACGGAAGCTTCCCCCCCATGTCCACGGAAGCTGTCCCCCCCCATGTCCACGGAAGCTGTCCCCTATGTCCACGGAAGCTGTCCCCACATGTCCATGGAAGCTGTCCCCCCCCCATGTCCACGGAAGACCTCCTTCACGGAAGCTGTTCCCCCCCATGTCCACGGAAGCTGTCCTCCCCCCATGTCCACGGAAGCTGTCCACTATGTCCACAGAAGCTGTCCCCTATGTCCACAGAAGCTATCCCCTATGCATTTCTCCCTCTTTCACATGCTTGGATAATTGTGTTACCAAAATATTAGTGATTAATGATTAAGGCTGAATTTCAAACAGTTCAAAATTAGTTGCTATATATATATATATATATACACACATATATATATTAGTACAGTATGTATATATATATATGTATATATATGTCATGC